TTGTACCAAAGAGACGAACTGTTCTTACCACGTGTAATTGTGTGTAATATTGGAGCAATAAAATTTGTGATATCATATCGTCTTATTTGATTAAATTCTACACAACCTCCTAATTAAAAATATTTACAAGCACAAAGTTCTCCTATGACTAGTTTTTGAGATACAGAATAATCTTTTAACGCCTAAAATCATAATTACAAATAAATCATTTATAAATAGTCTAAGAGCTAGCGGCTTTCAGGTAATTTATTTATGCAAGACATATCTATTAGTACTGAACATGTATGATTGTTTAGCACTTCAGCAAGACCTAGCTAGATTATGAGATTGGTGCATGCAAAATAGGTCAATGCATCTAAGTGTAAAGTGATGTATACACTAAAAAAAGATCTATTACAGATTTCTATTATAATATATACTAAATTGTGGTGGATTCAGTGACATTCAAGTATTAAAAACATTATACTATTCACAAATCCACACTAAGCTTGAGTATTGTTCTGGTATCCCTATTGTAATATTCTGTAGCGTTTTATTCTAAATATAATATTAGATTATTTAAATGTTCGATAATTCACAATACATCTTAATTGTGTTAGGTGTTGCCTAAATTCGGTAAATTACATTTAGCAATATTTTGGTTGTGACTACTATCCTGTACATCAGGAACTATAAAATTAAAAATAAATTCACTTATTAACTATTAATAAAAATCAACATTGGAAATATTTAAATAAAACAGTATCCATTGGATTTACACTAAATTGAATTATTGTCTTTTCTCTAAAATACGGATTTCGAATAAGTTATGGATCCACAAAGTTTGATTGTTTCAATGGCCATGGCCGATTCTTCAGGTAATTTAAACCAGACAGATCGTTGACGAAAGGTATAAATTCTTTCTTTTTCGATTTGAATAAAGCCAGAAAAAGACCATAGAAAAACCAAAGGTTTGAATAATAGGCGTGAATCGTTTCCTTATTTGTATTTTATCATATCGCACTTCACGCGCTGCGATCACTAAATATAAAATCGTTTTTACTCCCATATAATGATTCAAAAATGAATAAATATTAAAAAATCAATAATTTTACTAATGCAATCTTTTAAATATCACTTTAATATACATGATCAAATACACGGATAATTGTTATTATATACAGTTAAGGCTAAATTTGAATATCATGAGATGGTATCTGGCTTTGATAATAAAAATTAGGTTATGTTGCTGTTGCACTAAAACATGACAGATACTTTTTCGGAAAATGTAGGTGAGTAAAATTTAATTATTCCTAATTTTTTTATTTTTTTCTTGTAGTTCTAGTACTAAACACGAGTTTCATTTCCTCAACACCTAAAACCCAAGAACTACAAGAAAAAAATAAAAACAAATGTGTAAGAAAAAAAAAAGAAAACTTTAAAAAAAGGAGGTTCTCCTTTTTATAAAGTAACAATACTAATTTTTTTAGATTCATTATAGATTTAAGTAATTTATAACTGTAATTTTTATTATTTTTTAATAATTTTTATGAATTTTTATAAATAGCATCTTTATTGATCATTTTAATGATTTATGCGATAAAAACTCATGAAAGTGATCATTCCTTTCAATATGACATATTCAATAGTTTTCAAATTGCCTTTACCTTTAGGTACATATCAAAGATAGATTTTTTTTAATGGGACAAACTGCCCTAGCTTTTCCCTTTACACAATATCATACCAATACAGCATCCAAATATATTATAGAATTATCTTACTAATATATAAATGCGAAAGTTTGGATGTATGGATGGATGTTTGTTGCTCAATCACGCCAGAACGGCTAAACGGATCTGGATGAAATTTGACAGAAATATAGATCATAATCTGGAATAGCACATAGGCTACTTTTTATCCCGAAAAATATACGGTTCCCGTGAGATAGATTTGTTTTTGATTTTCAGAGCAAGGGATCAATCAGACATGATTTTTTGAATAGTGGTAGTGAAACATAAAAATTTGAAATACAGTAACTGAGCATAAATAAATAATGACGTGATTCGGGGTTTTTGGATTTTCATATTTTAAGGGGGGGAACGGTGGTTGAACGTTTGTATGGAAGTATCGATTTTTTTAAAGGTAGGAACTGGAAAATTGGAATAATAGTTACTCATCACAAATAAATATGACATCCAGATTATAAATCGCCATGCCTTACCGTCTCGATGATGGTGGGTGAGGTTTTCCTCGCCTGTAAGTCAAATTATACCATCAATTATCTTTAAGTCGCCCCAGAGCGCCACGGCAAATAATAATACCCGTCCCTTCCCCGCACAAGGTCAGTCGGCCTCAGGAGGTGAAATTCACTCATAAGGGGGTGAATTGGGGACACTATTATTGTTATTATTTTTGCCGACTCACCATTTTTTTAAGTCAAAACAAATCTACAGTGTGAGTCAAAACTCATATACATCGTTTTCTCATTTTTTTTTTAAATTGTGGATCTTTAAAAATCATACTTTTTTTTCTAGGGCCATTCATTTCTTAGCAATTTCCACTATTGGAAAAAAATATTTAGGCATAACTAAAGCACATATTATGAAGAAAAATATTAAAGACATTATTTTCTTTAACAATCTAAAATTTTGGTGTATATGACATTTCGATCCGATAACATTTTTTAATAGGTCATAAGCGTATATTTTTCATGAATAAACTTTTAGTTATTTAAACATTTCCTGGCAAATGACAAATAAAAATGTTTTCTATATGTACCCAACTTTATGGCAGACGCCATATATTATGTAATATTAGAAGTAAAAATTGTTTTGAAAATCCTCAGAAATGCATGGGGAATTATTGTTCTATTCAAGTTTTATTAAGAAGATAAGTATATTAGGGCTGGAAATTTTTATGAACATTTTTGATTCCTTTTTTGAGCGTTGGTTCAGCTATTAACATTAACATTATGTGGGATTTTGTTCCCATGAATTGAAAAAACTTTTTTGTGAAATACCCTACATAATCCCATATAATAGAATCTAACTTTGATATATATTACTTTCCTGGAAAACTCAGTATAATTGAAATTATTTTAAAATTGTTGCCTTTTCTGATATACATTTCTCTATAAAAACAGATTTGATTTAATTCTTTTAAATTCAATGCTTATATTGCATATTTTTATTATTAATTAAAAGTTTATGCAGTGGAAAATAGTTTTTTTCAAAACGACTAATATACTTATGTTTTTAAAATAAGAAAAGGCTTCATTCATATTTTAAATATTAATCGTATCTGTGGAGACATAGGTGGCAATTTTGTTTTTATAAACGCAAGTCTTTCTGAAAAAAAGAAAGATATAATCATCCTATTTGGGCTAGATGGTGGTGATGTCTTTGTGGAAATGGCCTGTAAGGCCTACGTTTTGGTGCAACAACACCAGACTAGTCAGTATAACATTTTGTTTTTTTTTTATTATTATTAGTTACCTAAGTAATACCATTTTTGTTTTGACAAAATAAAATACAAATTTGTCTTTTAATATGCATTTTGCCTTCTAAGTGAAAAAAAAAATAATGAAACTTTGGGGAAACAATGACTTATTTGTGATTTACTTATACTTTTAATGATTTTCAAGGAAGTAGATTTGCAAAAAGTTAGTAAAAACATAATTAAATAGTATTATAAAGAAACTGACTCGACATATGAATAATAATATTCTAATTTGTTATGTAATTTGTATTCCATTTGTTGTTTTAAGTTTTAAAAACTTTCAAATGCGTTTTTCCCAACAATTAACATATTCGCATTTACGTAAATGTTTCTCTGGAGGTGCGAACAGTGACCAGTTTACTTGAATTACTCTCCTATCTGTTAAACTGATAGTTATAGAGTGCCGTTTCAGAATATTAAGGTTCCTTATATACTTAGTGAGTAACCCTTATCATTACAACTTATCAATTTTAAATTTTCATTTTTTTAAACAAGATATATATAGAACACGTCATTAATAAAATACTACAATCCTTAAGCACATATAATAATGTAAGACAAAAGAAAATTTTAACAAATAATATTATCAGATAAATGTTAGACAAAATAATAGGAACAAGAAGCAACTTTTTAATCATAAAACGTAGTGTCAAGAAAATATTCCTACAAACTATATAATAACCCTTTTCCAACAGTAACTGCTTCATAGATCATTTAAATTTGTTCCGGCTCATGTTTTTAAAATGAGAAGGAAGGTGGTTAAAGAGTTTTACAACCACATCATATTTAGGATAATTTTCAAACATGGTATGTTGCATGTTATGGAACTGCCAAGAGATTTGAATTTTATATAGTTTACACCATTCATTTATATTATTCTTAATGAACAATAGCCTTCTAAAATGTATAAGTATATCTCCGCATATTCATTACTTTAAAGGTGGATTTATAAACTACTTTCAGTTCATGCTTAGTTCGAGTTCAACATAAACAGAGCAGAATGATACAGTATGTTTTGGATAAGAAATTATAATGGATTCATAATTTTTTATAACCAACACCATCTACAAATATAATTAAAACAAAAATAACAACAAAATATAATTTTATTTTGTGGAATTTGTATGGTTATGTCTTGCCAACTCGAACTGAGCGCGAACTGAACATAGTTTATAAATCCTCCCTAATAGGCCAAAAAATGTGCTATAAGTTCAAAATATCAACAAATTTTAGATACTTGTTATCTTTTTACGTAAGTTCATATTGAAATCACTGCAAACTACAGAGTATAATAATTGTATAAAGTCTGTAAGACAATGTTTATATTTTTTAAACATCAATTTTCCCTGAAGATTTACAAACATTCAGTAGATACACACTAACTACCATAATTTTCGGATACTCTACAAATTTCCAAATTCTTCTCAATGCAGAATTATACAAAATAGTTGGATGGTGAATCCGTGATTCATCAACCGGCCATACTCTATCTAATTGAATTCTTTACTTAAAATACCACTTACATTTTCAGTTCCTGTTTTTTATGTGTCTTTCTATGATGATACTTTTTTATGCTATTGCATAGAATGTAAAATCATTTAATTAATTATTGTTCAGGAGCTCCATTCAATGTTTATGTTTACAAAAAGTTTTTAATGCCTAGATGCCTAGTTGCCTAGGTGACTGCTGACATGTGACGTGCTGACTGCATGTTTATCGCGTGAAGGTGGGTTCGGTTAGTCGGGAGTTAGAGCGAGTCAGGAGCAGAGTTTTTTTAGAGCTATGTCAAGCTAGCGGGCACTCTGTGGCGGCACCAAACAAGACCTGGTGGGTTTTTTGTAGCTTTTTTGTTACGCTATTTGCAAATTTGTAGCTTTGCCCAGGTCCGAAAAAACAGCGGATCCGCTAGCTTGAATTTCCATAAATTCCATAGTAGCGGCACAGATTCAGACCCAGCTGGTTTTTCGTAACTTTTTTGTAGCTTTTTTGTTACGCTAGTCTCCCTGTTGTAGCTTGTACTGAACCTGAGAAAAACGCGGATCCGCTAGCTTAGCGGATATTTGTAGCGGCACCAGCTCGGACCCGGCTCATTTTTTGTAACTTTTTTGTAGCTTTTTTGTTACGCCTGTCTCGATTTCGTTGCGAGGCCTGAACGTGAGTAATAATCGTTCCTCCACGAGCGTGAGAGAAATGTGCGTTAATTTAAAATCAATTTTCGGCCTCTACAAATAATAGGTGCAACTCGATAGTGTGACTATGTGTTGATAGATGGCACCAGTATCGCACTTCATGAATTATGGCCATCTTCCGTCCAATTTTTGAGAAATTTAGATATAATCTCAGAATCGGACATTTGTTTTTAAATGTTTTTTTATTGTTGTTTATGTATTTATACTTCTGTTGAATCAAGAATATTCTTACATCTTTTTTGAATGATTTCCTTAACCAATAATTGTTTGGCAGTATTTATGGACCAATGTTTAATTCTGTCCAATCACAACATTATTGTAGTGAGAATAATTGCTTGGTAGCTATCACCGTTGTATGAATATTATTCATACAACGCTATCACCTAGTTTTTGAACAAATGTGTCGAATTGTTTTCAATTTATTCTCATTCTTGAGAATATCAAGGGTTCTTATAATATAATTAATATATATTTTATACTCAAACCATTAATTTTGTGTCCCAAATAAATAAGATACAGATCGGTTCATTTTATGTATGTTTAAAGGAATAATCTGTCTTTGCTTTGTTTATCTAACATACTAAAATCTATGAGTTTATTTGCCTCACTTACTCATTAATATCCATAGTGACCAACATCGGTTTTAGAAGATTACCTATATGGATATGTTAGCATCATTAATTATTATGATAAGAAAATACCAACCCGAAGGCAATAGCTCTCAAGAGTGGGTGGTACGGCACAGCGAGCCACGTGCAGGTACCGCTCCGGGGCAGATCCACAGTATCAGCCTTGAGTGCCACTATACGCCTTAGGGATTACTATTTTAAGTAAAATTATAACATCAGAAGTGCGGGATAGGCCCATTAACACAAAAAAAAACTTTAAACGATCATTTCTTCGAAAATGAGTGCCGAAGCGTTAATAAATTTTTTTTCAAAAACTGCAGGAGTCTCTGCATGCGTCGTGACGCGCTAATGACGACGTCGTGCTACCGATATTTGTCTCTGACCGGGCAGATTTCGGTAGATCGTGTTGGTGTTGTGAAATTGTGGAAATAAGTTCTCTTCGAGGAGAGGCCCGTAGGTGGTTTGAAATTCACAATAGTGACCCTGTTTCCCTCTAAAAAGAATTTGGCCGAAAAGTTGAAAAATGCCATTCTTCTTACAAGCAAACCACTTGCTAGGTACTGTAAGTATGCAAGGGAAAAATTAATTTTATTTAAATGTATTAAAATCAATTTTACTGAAGTAGAGCTAATAGAGCTTGTTATTGGCGAGATATGAGATGTCTCTGTAAAAATGGGAGCCTTAAATAGGAATGTAAAAAATAAAATGGGTAATAACATTGATTTATAAATTATCGAACTTAAATTGTTGCAAAGCGGTTAATTCATCTAATTACTTAACTCTTACTGTGATTAAGGACCCTACAGTTTATTGTTTAATAGATACATGGTCTACCTGTTCTCTTATGTCAAAAAAAAAATCAGATTTAGTTGGCTGCAATGTTGAGTATTGTTACTCTATTAAAAGGGGATAGGGGGTGGTCAGGTACCGACTTACGGCAAAACTATTGTTATGTTGGAGTGCGAAAATATTTCTATCGACACGTTTTTTTTTCTTGTTCGAAATTATCAGTAGGAATATGAATTATTGTAGGTAGAGACGCGGTACAACGCAATGATATCACAATATCAGTTGATAAACAGGGAATTGATACAGTTCGTAATAAATCGTTTATGAATTGTGTTTACGTTTTGTCAGGGTCGGATGGCGGCGATATCTTAAACGATGTCAACGTAAACACTCTTGAAAATGAAGACCGTAATAAATTGTTTGAATTGCTGAGAAAGTATAAAAATATAATTACTTTTGGCAATGAGGTGCGTTATGTTAATACGACAAAATTTAAAATTGATTTAAAAAATGATTGTATTGTAAATTATCGACCATACAGACTGTCCATAATTGAACGAAAAAAAAGTCAGAAACATGATAGCAGATATATTGCGTAACAATATTATTCGGGAAAGTAATTCTTCATTTGCAAGCTCTGTCATTTTAGTTAAAAAGAAAGACGGGGGAGATAGGCTATGTGTAGATTTTAGCCGAAGATTATATTCTGAAAACTGCCTTCGTAATGCCAGATGGCCATTACGAGTACCTAAGAGTGCCTTTTGGGTTATATTGATTCCCTGCCCTAATATAAATGAGGGTATGCATTCTTTAGAATAAGTACTTGAAGCATAAGCGAAAGCAGGTTTTTTCCTTAAAAATTAAATAAATGCCGTTTTTCTTTTAAAGTGTCAAATATTTGGGTCGGCATGTGTCAGCTGAGATGGCATTAGGCCGGGTAAAAGTAAAATATCAGCTTTAATAAATTTGCCAGTACCGACTAATGTTAGAAATATTGAGCAAATGATAGGACGTGCAAGTTGTTTTCGAAAGTTTGTACCTGAATTTGCTAGTAAAACAGCATGCACTAAAAAAAAAAACAACGTCATCTGGAAATGGGGCGAAGAACAAAATACTGCGCGAAAATATATAATTAATCATTTAAGCAGTGAGTCGTTATTAACTATTTTTGACTCTACCTTAGATACTGAACTACATACTGACGCAAGTTTCATAGAGTACGGGACAGTTTCGTTTCAAAAACATAATTCGAAGTATCTCGGTATGACTCTTATGAGCTGTAGACGCTTGTACTCATTAACTGAATCAAACATTTTCGTTTTTATTTACTGGAAAATTATATCTGAACTTGCTTAAAAATAAATATTCCGTTTCATACAATTCGTATTGATTGTATTGATCTGTAGTTTAAAATAACAAATAACCACAGATGGTTTTAAACACGCTTTTTTTATCGTCAATACTTTTACGAAATATGTAATTCTATACCTTTTAAAAAAAAGCTTTAACCAGAGCAGAAATGACTAAAAATATTAAAGAATTATATAATGATGTTTGGTAGGTACGACGGCACGTATTTTAATTAACCGTGGAACAAATTTTACCGATAAAAAATCCTTATTCGTAAATATAAATATTAAGCGTCATTAAATTAGCAGGGGCGCTACTGGGCAAGTTGAAAGGTATGTTGTAACAATAATTAATTTATTATTACTACAAAAAAAAAACTGTTGAAGTTCGAAATTTGTCAGAATGGACGAGCGCTCTTTCCAAGTTGCGATTAACTGTTAATTCTACCATTCGGAAAATTAAGTACAGGTCAGGTTAATCCCTGAGGAGTACTTCCGAACTTAATGTTATTTTCATGTTACCAGAAAGTCAAGTACAGGTCAGGTTAATCTCTGAGGAGTACCTCTGAACTTAACGTTGTAATTATGTCACCAGAAAGTCAATTATAGGTCAGGTTAATCCCTCTGAGTACTTCTGAACTTCTCTACTGTTTTTATTTAATAACAAAGCTAAGTACAGGTCGGTTAAATATCTGAGGAGTACCTTTTTTGAACTTCCATTTAAAGCTTTTGCTTTTGTAAGTAAAAAAGTTAAGTACAGGTCAGTTAAATATTTGAGAAGAAGTACCTCTGAACCTTAATTTAAAGCTTTTGTTTTTGTGATTAAAGAAGTTAAGTATGGGTCAGCCACATATCTGAGGAGTATCTCTGAACGTATTGCTTTTACTTTTTTCTGCTTAGCACAAATGTACAGAAATCTTTTGAAATATTAAATATAGTTTAATTGTTAGCATCGTGTAAGCTTTATGTTTTATAAATGTGGTCTAGTGAATCGTATGAGGAATCTGAGGATTCACAATCATAGAAAAAAATCGGTAAGTTGTATTGTCCTGGATGGGCGGCGTTAGCAAGTAATTCTTTTGTTTTTGGCTTTTCCTTTATGTTTTGTTGCCTAAATGAAATATTAACTGCCCGAGACCTATTAGATGACTTGTTTTTTAACCACGCGATGGCAGGTGGTAAGCATTTCGTGACTAGTAGAGTGAAAAATGCTTGACGGATATTGTTAAAATCCGAGGAGCATAGCTATTTTAAAATTAATTTAAAAATGGAAATTGAAAAATGCTGGACGGATATTGTTGAAATCCGAGGAGCATAGCTTTTATTTTGAATGATTTAAAAAATATGTAAATTGAAAATGCTGGACGGATATTGTTGAAATCCGAGGAGCATAGCTTTTATTTTGAATGATTTAAAAAATATGTAAATTGAAAATGCTGGACGGATATTGTTGAAATCCGAGGAGCATAGCTTTTATTTTGAATGATTTAAAAAATATGTAAATTGAAAATGCTGGACGGATATTGTTGAAATCCGAGGAGCACAGCATTAATTTTGAAATTATTTTAAACATATTAATTGAAAAATGCTGGACGGATATTGTTAAAATCCGAGGAGCACGAGCAACGTTTTTATTATTTTTAAATTTTTAAAGTGCTGGACGGATATTGTTAAAATCCGAGGAGCATAAGCAATGTTTTTATTTTTGAAGTGCTGGACGGATATTGT